TTAAGATGATTCTCCAATAATTAGATTCTAGACATGGAATTTATTATAATTTTCCATGCCTAGAATCTAGTTATTGGAGGGCTATCTTAAATTCATGCCCACCATCACTACAGCAAGGTAAGCAGCAGCAGTATGGCATGCAGTAGTGGGAGCAAGTGGTCCCTACCTCTTGCCACCTATCCCACCTCATCTTCTCTTGTGTTTTTAGAGGTAGCTTCTTTAAGACTTTACCTAGTTTCTTATGGTATTCTGCCATAGGGTCCTTGGTCAGAAGTTTGTAAAACTCTGTGTTGGAAAGTTGTCTCTCAGCTTCCTGTACGTATGCTGTTTTGTCCATGACAACCGTGGCAACCCTCTTATCAGTCTGTCACATGATAATATCAGGGTTGTTTTTAAAGCTGATTATGGCTCTCCATTCTGCAGTACTGAGGTTATAATGTAAGTGTGGTATGCTTTTTGGCACTCAGAGTGGGTGCAGAGATGAAAACAGTTTATATAAGAACCCAGAGTGGGGCTGCGGCTCTCAGATATCATCCAGGAGCTTTCCTTCTTAAACTGTGTAATGCTCAGGTCATTGGTAACAAACTTGTTCCAACTTACAGGCAACCCCCCAACCTCAAACAGCGTCTCTCCAGCAACAGACTACCTAACTCCTATTCTCACCAAGGCACTAGACCTTGCTCCTGACCCAGATGCTGGCTGTATCTCCTCATCAACACAGGCCACATCATCACTGGACTAAATAACATGGATTATAATATCAAAGGTTCATTAATCTGAACTTTACCGATGCCATCACCCATATAGTGCCCCTCTGCTGTCTACCTTAGACAGACATGAAAAAGAATAAATGAACAGCAATGTGACATCTGGTCCAGAAAGACATTGAAGCCTGTGACAAAACACGTTAACCTTCATGGACATTTCATCGCTGACCTGGAGAGAATGTTCTTAGATAACAAAACTTTAAAAATGAACTTGAATGGGAAATTGTGGAACAAGAAATCGTCTGCAGACTCAGCTGTGGTAAGTATGATCTAAACCAAGACTGTGGATTCTTATCCCATTACCTGAATTACCTTTTATAATTCCTATGTCCCTTAATATGTTAACTGCTTTGTTTTTCTCTCTCCTACCCACCTGGCCTCTCCCAGCAGTGCTCCCTCCTTTTTCCTCCCCTTTCCCTATCCTTTATATTCTAATCACTGCTTTCTATTTAGAAACTGATCCCTGCAGTTCTTTCACAGCATCTGGTAAAGTCACTGCTTATGAAAACTTATGCTATGCATGTCTGATTTAGCTAGTCTATAAGGTACATCCACCCTGCCTATTGCAAACTTCAGCCAGCCACAGAAATAGGCCACTGATGCATATACTTAAAATCCCACTCTATATATTTTTAAATGTTTGCAATCAACAATCAGCTGAAGTTCTTGACCTACACACTTTATGTAGCTGATCATGAAGCACTCATTTATTATTTAAGATTAATAAGTAACAGTAAATTAAGAGCAGCCACTTAGGAAACAAAGCATATTTACTTTAGTTTTTTATGCATATTTAGATTCCATTTTTTGCATTTCTAAAGAGAGATTGGGAACACTTAAGATGTATTAAATATTTCCCCCCCTTTCCCCATCATTCTACCTATTACACTTCAACACAGAAGCATAAAGCTAACAAGTTACACATTTTTACTTCATTATTAATCCTATCCACATTCATTTGTGGAAATATTTTCTGGTTATTTTGTAAGGACTTTGGATCTTGTCTTTAAACCTTCCAATTGTGTCACCCACAGAATTCCTTAACATACAGTTTTAAAATACAAATGGACCATCTCTAAGTAGGTGTTTTGGACCTCTAAAAATTGGCATAACACATGATGAAGAAAAAGCAACGATAGGTGGGAAGAAATAGGAGACATACAAAAAACAATAAAAAGATCAGCTAATTCAAGAATGACAATATAAAGGAGGACTAAACTTCTTTTGAACTTCTTTGCTATCATCATCAGCTCACACTGCTTTTACAGATATATACCACTATTTACTATCTCTATTTATTTATAAACAATGGTCTAGATTTACAGAAATCTAGTCCATGTGCTACTTATTTTAATTTGGGCTAACTGAACCAATTGAACAGAAAGAAATACCACAAAAATATTTTTGAAATCATCTTCTGTAGTTGCAAGTAGATACACTTAACCTGGGTGCTACATTTCCATGATTATTTTAGCAAGTGAGGTACTGACTGTCATCCAGAACTGTTCCAAAGCTTATTGAAAGCAACAGAAGGACTTTAAGGGGCTTGGTTATACACCAAAAAGAAAGAAATTAACTACATATGTGTTCAAACAGTGTTCCTAACATGTAGTTTAGGTATTCAGAATGGAAAACCTGATTCACTCTGGAAACATACTGTGCAATCTTTCTCTCCAATCAAAAATGTTTGACTTGACTATCCGAGATCTGCCATAAACTGCTAACCAACTAGCAATGAATCAGGAAATATTAGCAAGAAATATTGGGTTGATAACTCTGGGTGTTGGATACATTTATGAAAACCGCAACCTGTTCACGGAGAATATTGAAATTGAAATTAATGTAAAAACTAGTGTATAAATTATTCATTGCAAGTTATTTGCCAAGCTCTAAATTCATGAGAATTGGTTATCATGAAAGCTGTGGATGCAGCAATTATACTATAGCCATGTAATATGATTCTGCACTGTATGAATGACAGCATGGAACAATCACAGCTTTAGTTCTTATGCAGGCTAGGCTTTCTAAGGAATAAGAAATCTAAAATTCCTTAAAGCCATTCCTGGTACTCATTTTAGTAGAACAATCAGCATACATCATCCCTTTGGAAGTGTCATCCAGCAAAGCCTGCCATTCATCATAAGTTTGGGGGTCATCAGAGGTCATATATGCTGTCTTCTTTGGGTAACAGTAAACAAAAGTGCTGTTTCAGCATAGTATAGTCTGATAACCTTGGTTTTGCTCAGAAAAACATGGCCCAATACTGTAAATTAATCAGAAATAATGATATGTTTTGTGTTCAGAAGGAAGCATAGCCCCTTAAGGCTATTTATACTGGATACAACAGTATAAAATGTTCAGCCTTCAGAGCATGAACAGAGCATGCTGATCTAAATGAAAGAAAAGCAAATAGTGGAATAACTTGCTATTCTATTTGGCACGGGTGAGATATCACCTGGAATATTATATCCAGTTTGGGGCACCATGCTTCAAGAAGGACAAGGACAAAGTAGAAAGCATCCAATGGAGAGCAACAAACATAATTAGAGGTCTAGGAAATATGACTTATGAGGAAAAGATGCAAGAAGTGGGATATTTATTTTTTTTTTGGCTGAGAGGGAAATTGGTAACAGTCTTTAAAATACTTCCAGGTCAGATATAAAGAGAATGGTGATAGACTACTCTTTGTGTCTGCAGGGAACCAGCAGCCTTTAATTGCAGCAAGAGAGATTCAGGTTGGATATTAGGAAGAAATTTCTTATCATTAAGGTGGTGAAGCATTGGAAGAGGCTACCCAAAGAGCCTGTGGGATCTCCATTCTTGGAATTTTTTAGGGCAGGTTAAACAAAGACTTATCTGAGATAGTACACACCAGGATGATCTAATTTTGAGAAGAGGGATGGACTGACTTTCTTAGGTCCCCTCCACCCCTACTTTTCTATAAATAGGTCACACATTTTAAGGTTTCTTTTTGTTTTCAAGCTGAAAAAGCAGAAGTTGTGACATGGAAAATAAAAGTCACCATCTCTAAACTTAAAGTAGCTGATCAACATTTAGCTATGAAGAGTCATTTGTGCTAAAGCATCCACTGACTCCAGTTTGCTTGGAACCCATTTATGAAATCAGTGCAGCTGCATAGGTATAAACAAGGGCCAAATTTGACACACAACTTCCAAAAAAGTCAGTGAGTATATAAACCCTGTGTAATTTTGAGCATTTAGGAGTTACCATTGTTGTGACTGTCTCGCCTTCTGAGACAGGTAAGAGAAGGACATGACAACAGAAAAAGAGCCTGAGCTTAAAGATGCCAAAATCTCTCTTGACTGTTCGGGGACAGACAAAAGTTAAATTTTTCACATGATCAGCCCCCCTGAAAGTGCTCTACAGCCATGCTGTGACACATGTGCACAGCTGTAGACTGCCACTGAAGTGGCCAACCACCTGACAAATTAACCCTCATCAAATAAGGGTTCAGATGAAGGTGCTCTACTTGTGTTTCCTAGGGTTAAATTGTGTGACTGGGGCTGGGGATGCAGCCCAGCCCCAAGGGCTGTCAGCAGGAAGGGAAGGAGATGGGGGAGTGAGCTGCCAGCTGGGGTTTGCCTGGCCTGAGCTGGAAGGGAGGGGTGGCTTCCTCAGCCCCCTCCTCTCCAGCTTAGGCCAGGCAAACCCCAGCCAGCAGCTCACTCCCCCTGCCTTCTCCTTTCTTGCTGATAGCCCTGTAGCTGGGGGAGGGGACAGGGACTGGGAAGAGAGGGTGGCTCCTTGGCTGCAGGCAGGCGAATGTCTCTTGGGTCAGGGGAGAGGCTGCTCTAACTCATGGCATTTTATGTAAAGCACCATGAGTTAGTGTGGGGGTCTGCACAACTGTTAGCGCCCATGAGCAGGAATTGTTTTTAACTATAATCTAAAGCCCTGAGTTCAGCCCAGTGAGAGTCTATGTAGGCCCTAAGCTGGCATTCCCTACCTTTCTCACACTGAATAGCATAATACCTTACTCCATATATTGCTCTACCTGTTTTAGTTGCATTTAGCTTATATATTTTAATAATAATACATATGTGTAAAAGTTATAGGAGTTTAAAATGAATCTTTCTTAAATCTATCTGTAATTACCAGCATATGGTATGAAACACTAATACTCTTCCTCACTTCATTATTTTCTAAATGCTGGTTATTACACCGTGGATAATAGGAAGACAAGCAGTTATTACAGAAATGACTCAGGCACTCTCCAGACTGAGAAACAATTTTATTTCTTCTAATATAGAACTGTTGACATGTAGTCAGTTTAAACATAAGTAATATGTTCCAGTGCATCACATTTTATTCAACCATAACAGTGCCAAGGATTTAAAGCCAACAAATACCATGTAAGTTAGTGAGTCAGTTAACAAGCAAAGCAAAATAATGGTGAAGAGCATTCAGAAGTGAACACAAGCCTTTGTGTTTAAACATATTTCTAAGTTTGAGCTAACAGTTCAGATTGGCTTATGAACAGTGCATGTAACTGCTTCTTCTACCTCCTCCTTCATGCCACACCATATGGAGACAACTGAACATTGCAGTTGTCACCCTCCAAGGTGCTCCGCTTCACTTGGAGGTGCAACACCTGGCAGGATCAGGCCTTCTGCCATTGGAGGGTTTACAATCAGATATAAAAGACCTGAGTTATGGAAAGAATTTTTTTTTTATCATGCACATTACAATCAAGCCAGCATACAGGAAAATGCTGATTATCCCTTATTTGGGCCCCTTTAAGGTCCTGAATGCCCTCAACTCCTGTTGATTCAAATGGTTTCAAAACCCAGCTTTTCAGACTAGAAGAGCAACACGCAGTGTACCTTCTAACCTCCTAGATGTTTTGGTTTTTTTAGCAGCAGAGCAGGCATTTGCTATAAACTGAAGTTCCAGGATCAGTGTAAACATTAGAACTGACCTGTTTGTAATTTCTGAATATTAATTTGCCTGAGTAAATTATAGTTTGTGAAAGGAGAAATGCAAGCTGCCCTTCACACAAGATGTCCATATGTTCACATTCTCATTCTCTTTTCTGAGATCTGTTCCCTCCTTTTCCCATTTATGTAAGAGCAGCATTGATGCGGCTGAGTGGCTGTTTTAAACCATAAAAGTGAATTGCAAAGGAAAATCAGACTGAAGTAAATCTGGATTCCTGTGCTGACTTTCCCTACCATGCAAGACACTGACACGGATATGTGTTTTAATATTGTTGAAATATTTGAAATTATAGCACCTCTTGCTATGCTGATGTCCCGGAATATATTATGCTACTATTTCATTAGGTTGCATGACACTCCTCGTATTAGGCATGAAATCATTAGAGAAGCAGGAAGTATCAGTGGATGTCAAAGGAAACAACTTTTAACATGTTTATTCCTCATCTGAAGGTTTCCCACAGCATACTAAACACAGACAGTCAAAACTGAAGCCTAGGATGAGTTGTATGTCTCATATTCAGTGGAAAACCTCACTTAAGAACCACTTTAAGAAGATGCCTTGCAGACAGCAAGTTTGTAGAGCACATAATGACCAGAACATGAGTACATGGAGGGATTTTGCTGGGCCTTTCCCACTACACTAATGGGAATCTTGTTAGATCCCCGTGAATCAAACTGAAAATGCACACATATGTCTACAATATAAGATTTTGCTTACATATTAAATTCTATTTTGATCTGAATGTTTTGCCTTAATAATAAAGTCTTCTGGTCTTTTTTTGCATAGCTTTATCAGTATGTTGTTGTAAATCTAGTAGCCACCATGCAAAGCAGAGACAGGCTACACCAAATGAAGTAAACCATGATTACAACTTACTATTCCCTGTACACAGATACATATACAAATAAATATAAATAGATAAATACTGTAGAACAATAGCATTCATAGTTCACTTCTCCATGGAGGTATGTTGTGAATACATAGACAAAATTATTTTTTTAATTGTTAAAAAGATATATTTAAATTTCTTATAATACAACAGCTAAAGTAGATTATAAATTCTTGTAACAGGATCCAGGGTATGTTTTATGCTGGAAATAGGTACTGGAGCTTTATTAGCTAAAATGCCTTTACAATTACATTTCAAAGAGTTAGTTTTGCCTCTGCTGAACCATAGGCAGCAGTAGCATTTAAGCACCATTCATGGAGTAAGGAGAACACTAAACTCTTCCAGTCAGAATATGAGGTAAAGTGATAGTGAAAAACAATCCTTTGGTTTCCCCACGTTTTCTAGTCTGAAAATCTGATGCACCGTATGTACAATTAGGAAAAATTATTATCAATATTAAATTGCAGAATTGTCTCAAATTTAAAAGACTGCTCCCCATAAACTGAAATGTAGCCTCAGTGTACAGTCTGTACAGGTGCACTGCGTATCTTTCATGCATGTACAAAAATCTGTGAAGGTGCTTTCTCAATGTTTTAAGTGAAAAATGCATTCAAAAAACTTTAGCTCTGAAAGTCATATAAGTGCTTTCATTTTTAGCAGCAGCCTAGATGTGTTTTATGTGCAACCACAGATTTTATCAACTGACAGCATACACATTCAGAAAAAGGTGCCTATGCTTTTGTGATGTTATCCTACGACGGATTTCTAGTTGATTTACAGTTACTGATAGTTCTTTGATACAGTACCTGCTTTTGTGAAGACTGTAAGTTGTAAAATCATAATGTGTCATATACACATTAAAAATCTCCCAGAATACTTCCATGAGTTCTTTGGTCGATTACAGAACAGGTCACTTACTGCTTTTTTGACCTTTCAGCATTTTGTGAAGGTTAGTAATCCCTTTGGTATTAAGTGAAACAGCTTTAACATTGTATTAAGTCCTTGTTCAAAATATAAAGTGTACTCAAGCTTATAAATATACCTAGTAAATTAAATTCCACTGGCATTGCATTTACAGTAAAGTAGCTATGTATAATGTCTACAGTCAATAATCAAAAGACTCTCTTCTCCATCCAGGAGAGTACATAACAACTGCAGACGCTCCCTCGGCCTGAACAAGGGTGTTTGTACCCGAAAGCTTGCAAATAAGAATTTTTCCAACTATTTTAGTTGGTCTAATAAAAGATATCAGATTTACCCAAAGAACCTTGTCTGCTTCTTCTCCACAAGAAATATATGTATTTAATGCTAACATTTTTACACAAGTGATACTAACTTCTGAACTTTGCATACTGTTCATTCTGCCTCAACCATGCTAAAATACAAACAGAGATACAAAAGAATAGATTGGAAATTATTCTGTTCTCAAAAGTACTAAATCATGCAGTTATATTTCTAGGGAACTCTGTTGTCAAAATTATAATAAACCTCTATGAAAAAGGACAACAATGAACAACTGGTTTAATTTTCACAGTGCAGACCATCTATCAGACAGATGAACTCAATCCATTTTTGTATCCTAGGTTGACTAACCCTCCTTGTTGATAATGAGATTTAGATACTTCTTCACATATTTTTTCAGTAGGACTAGAAATTCTGTTGTAGAAGCAAAGAGCCTGTATAAAAACTTTTGATACTAAATTTCACCAAACAAGCTGAAGTCTTAACATGAAATTCCTTCATTTCAGCCAGATGTTGGCCAAAAAACGTCACTCCATGTTAGTTAACATTGCTGAAGTTCCATGCATTTGTATGTGGTTATTTAGGTCCTGTTGAGTGGATATTCCCTAGATAACATAAAGCTTTCAAAGTGCTGATCTTCTGCCTTTTTCTTCAATCTCTGCTGCTCTAAGGAAGACACGAGTTTGTCTCTTTCTGCAATCACTCTCATCATCTTGATAAAAATTTCGTTCTCCTCCTTCAGATCTTTCTCATCTTTCAGGCTGTCTGAGAGAAGGCAAACAAAATGTGTAAAACCTGGCTCATCCTTTGTAAAGATGTGGAGAAAAGACTTAGTTTATAACAGATACAAATGCTACCTAAACCATAAACCAAAACTCAACAATACAAAACCACATACAGCAATGAATACATTAGTGAAAACAAATGTAAGATGTTCAACTGTAGTTGGATTTTAAATTCAGTTTATAAACAGGTGAACAGAACTAAACAAAAATCTAGAGGTTGTAAAGAAACTGAAAATATCTTTTCATAAAGAGATTTGAACATTTCAGTCATTATTATTCTACTCATTTAGAATACTTTTTTTAATTAGTTGAAGTTATTCATTAACAGGTATATCACAATATTTAGAAAAGAGGAATGAAAAGAGGAGTAGAATGTGGGGGCAGAGGATACATTGCAAACTCCTACATGTTCAATTTTTCCAGATTCACTGAAAAATAGGAAAATGAAAAACAATATTTGTGGTTAAAATTTCCATTTTGATCACTGCTAACACAATGTGGGAAACAAAATTTGCAATAGAGACTGATTTAATGGATTTTAAGGCTAGAAAAGAATATTTTCACCTACTCTGACATGCATCACACTGACCTAGTATTCACAGTTATTCTTATGTAATATTTTTCTTCCTTTTGTAATTATCTCTTTGAGATGACTAGAAGACACAATAATCGAAAGTGTAGCTGCCTTGATTTTTCATATTGTTTCATTCATGCACATTTTTTATTAAGAAAAAGAATGAGTATCATGGCAAATTATATTTTTAACTGCCATGACGGCCACTTTTAAAAAGAAAAGTCAAGATTCCACTCCACAACAGATCGTGTAAGATGGAGTAAAACAAGCTGCTGAATCCTGCTCTTAGTTGTGGTTGGTAGATCCCTTGTGTGGTTCACCTTTATAAAGTTTATATACTTTGGGGTTTGAAAGCGAATTAAAGACAATGCAAATTGATTTTTTATGGAGAAGGAATATGATTTTATGCAACTTGTCAGTGCAAATATGATAGACATGGAACATGTAGTAATTTAAGAACAGTGATATTTAATTGCATTATAAATACTGTACGCAATCTGGCCAGTGACATGAAGTTATGTATAGCTGTATTAGGCTATTAGAATGCTCTAATGGGTGGGTGTTTTAAAACACCAGAAAGCAGCACAATGGAACTGGATAACTGACCTTCCAGTGCACACTTGGATGCAATTACCAGACAATGGCATACTTCCAACCTAAAGATACACAGCTGGTTTTTCAGGTTTTAACAGTCAAAAAAAGTACTCCTGGGAGATCAGTTGCTAAAGGCAGCAAAGGGAAACTTTGAGCCTCTCTAGAGGGAGTCTGAATATATTGGGATTACCAGACTAATACCAGAAGGGAGACAGGCTGTCATACAGACTGATTGTTTTTCAGTTACCAGTATATTTCCAAATTCCAGACAAATAATATTTGTTTCAAGAGGGCCATTTGGTCACTAAATTAACCAGTGATCATTGCTCCCAGAGGTATAAAAGTGCAGGCACTGAACATGAGCCATTTTGCTCAGATATTCAAAAATAACATTTCAGAAATACAGTCCACCACACAGTTTTAAAGTAGGGGGATCCCAGTGAGAGAGAGGTGACAACCTGGGGCTGAGGGGGTGCACATCAAGAGGCCAGAAGAAGCTAGAGAAGCAGTTTGTCCAACTGTGGCAGAAGCTATTCTAATATCCAGGGACTAGTTAGCTGCAGGAGCTCACTGCCCGCACACAACTCAAAGTTGTTTTTTAAAAGAAGATGCTTGGAAATGTATTGCTGAATATGTACATATGCAGTAATTCACACACATCTCTAAATTTGTTCCTCAGCTCTTCTAGAAGCTAACAAACATGCAAGCAAGATAAAAAGAAGCCACAGACCCAGGAACTCCCAATCTCTCTAACTCAGTATAATGGTCCCAAATCACTGCAGTAACACCTGTTGTAAAATGTATGGTTGGAGACCACTAGGGTAAATTAGGGGTGCTCAACCTGCAGCCTGTGGGCCAGATCAGACCCCAGATCCACATAGCCCTGTGTTCAATGGCCCTGCATTCTTGATTCAGCACACAAGGCTGCATGGAGCCCGATCCCAGCACACGAGGGCAGATGAAGTTGGCTTGTGCCCCAGGGGTCCTGATTCAGCATGTGGAGCCTGGTGAGGGCAGCACAGGGTCCTGGGGCCCCAATCCCAGCATGCAGGGCCAGGGGGGGATGGTTTGGTCCAGAACCAGCATGTAGGCCTCATCCTGGAGCTCAGGTTCCAATCCTGCCCATGGACCAGCCTCACACCACTCATTTGGCCCACAGAGCCAAAAGGTTGAGCATCACTTGTGCATATCAAGCAGGTAAGACCCTTCCTATGCAACTTACCATCAATGGCCATTTTCTCTCTCAGTTCCTGTTCCAATCTGCTTTGGTGATCTTCCAGTTCTAGTTCTTGGGCTCTGGACACATTAAAAACAGCAGTGATGAACCAGCTGACATAGATTTCCTAAGCATTTCAGAATTCAGAAGGTAACAAGAAAGTTCAACAGTCCTAATAAAAATACTGACAATTCCCATTTATTATTACCATCACTGCCTCTGGAGTGCTTTATTCATATGAAAATATTTGTTGAGGATATAAAGTATGCAACAACATGCATGGCAACATGTTATTGAAGACATTGACTACATTCAGTAACAACAATAAGTACACATGGTGCATGCCCAGTCTCTGCTCCATATAGTCAGGTTTACCCTCAACTGTTTGATTCTTCCTACACTCTCATATTACATGCCAGAACAAGGCAGCAGTATCTCTTGGATTCTGTATTCTTTTAAGTTCCCCATTCCCTGGGAGCATTTCAATGTGCACATGCAATGATTCTTTGTTACACAGACTAGGTGTGCCTGTAGATCTGCCAGGAGGCTGCTCCAATGCACTGTAATTACAGTGCATTGGAGCAGTCAATTAATCAAGCCTGGTTGAGTGTGCTAATTAGCATGCTCTAGCCAGTGTTCCCATGCTTCAAAATGGCAGCAGGGGCGCTTTAACTAAAGTTCATTCAACAAGCTTTAGTTCAAGTGCCCCTACTGCCATTTTGAAGCATGGGGTCGCTTAAAAATCAGACACTGTGGTGCTTTAATTAGAGAGGCTCCTGAGAGCTGCTCTAATTAAAGTGCACCCCCCTCCATTCCCGAAGATGTGTAAAAACACCTTAAGAGCCTGAACCTGAGCCTGACATATAAGTTGAACACTTCTGAGAATGGAGGGCCCTGTTTGCAGTGAAGAGGACTCCTAAGGAAAGGAAATTAATATGAATGAATGAATAGACCCAGAGTGCACCATTTTGTGTCTTGTATCAAATGATATAGATTTAAGTTTTGTTAAACTGTCATTTTTTGACAATGTGAAAGGAAGCAGAGATGCCAGATGAGTAAAGTAAAATCCAAGGCAAACAAATTTCTTGCACATCTTTGCACACATGTAACTGTAATCAGAGGAAGATTCAGATGGTTGCAGGGTTTCTCCAACAGAGCATTGTGTGGCCTGTTGTTCAGTGTGGAACTGGCAAATGGCACCCAGCCACCTGCTATCAGCACAGGATCCAGAGATCAGGAAATGTTCCCCCACCTACTCAGCCACAGCAGTGGAAGTAGGGAGCAGCTGAGAGACTCAGCAAGCAAACATGGCACATACAGCAGTGGGAATATTGATGGTTTTATGAGCAGTATAGTTTTAATCAACCCCAGATATTGGTATCTAATACAGTCCTTATTTGCTGATATACATCCATTCACTTTGCCTCTCTATTCTACTCCCAAGTAATTCCCAACTGTGTTTAATCTTTCTTCCCATTTCCTCATGCTGCCCAGGAAAGGCTGATATACTGTAGCTTAGAACAATTTTTCTTCTATGGGATAAAGGCCTTGAGGGTTCATTAATCCATCATTACATTGGAACAGAGCATCCACAAGCAACAGTGTTTCATAATAGCCTTATAGAATCAAAATCAGTGTACCACTGGGGAGTTCAACTGAAAATCTGTGTTCAAAATAGATGGTAGTTTGGGGTGTTCTTATTTTATCACACTTCCAGCTCCAGGACATAGCTAGATAAGGAGTGTAAGCTCTCTCCATGCGCTAATGGCAATATGCTATGCAAGACAAAGTGGCAATTTAGCTTCGTAATGAAGGCTGCATGCATCTGGAGAAAAATCCTGAGTCCCGGATCTAAAATAAGCACATTCTCCCCCCACCCCTGATGTTTCTATTATTAATGGTAAACTGTATTGTCCTTACTTACAGCACCAAGAGCTCAGATTCATAACGCATTAATTTATTCTTCTCCAGGGCTAGTTCAAACCATTCATGTAACAGCTGAGTTTCATCCTGTGTGCCTGAATCTGTTTAAGATATAAAAAGTAAATATGTTACACTGGGTTTTCCTCTCCATTATCAAACCACATTGGGGCTATTTTAAATGCCCCTTGTTTGTAAGATGAGGTGCATGCATACCATACAGAACCTTAGTGATGTGATATTTCTGTCAGTATTTCTCCATACATATAGCAAACACCTGTGTATATTTTTCAATAGTTTATTGCAGTTAAGGGTATATTGATTATTCTGGAAGGAAACAGATAAAAAAGAAACAATCATTTGCTGCCATTTTGGAAGCCAGGAGGTTCATGTTATTCCTTTTCTTTTATTTGTCTATTCTCTTTTTAAGTAGTTGATATTATTTTCTCTTAGTTCTGTCATCAATAAATTTGTTTCCTTTTTGGGAGGCTCCAGTGCCTGAATAATTCATTCTAGGTGGATATCTGACCACAGTACATTTATGCTTCTAAAATGGATGCTTCAGTACCAAAAAACTGCTTTGTTCATATTGCTTGCACCTTTCTTTGAAAATCTGGCCATTAAATGCACCCTGCTCATAAGTAAATTGCTCAGTATTTTACCACCTGCTTACCTCCATACAGCCCTGCCAAGAAACATATCTTAGCACAAGTGGCTTTCAAAAGGTTTGAGACACTTCTTGTTCTATACATATCCTTCCCCCCCCGTCTAACCCTTTTTTTCTGTGTATTTCCTTCAGTAACCATCAGTAAAGCCCATCTACCCCATGGCATCTAAATGTTCTGTAGCATGACCCCCATTCTTAAATGAAAACCTGCTGAAGAGATGGGAAATCTCTCCCTTAAACCTCTGTCATGCCTAATCTGCCATGACCTTCTCCACATACTCTGACAAAAGAGCATAATAGTAACAGGTTGGATACAAATACCTTAATTTACTCCAAAATTATCCCAGGTTTAAGGGACAATCCCAATGTCCATGAAGTTCTATGAATGGCAGAAATCTGTCAGTGTTGTAGAAGAATTTAATGACATCTGGTCTCTCGACAGCTGCTCAGCAATTGCCCACACAATGCTATTGCTGTCTTGAAAGCCTACGCAGTAATGACTTCATCAGCCATAAGGCTGCGCCATCTCCTACACTATCCTATGTATGGCAAAATTTCTCAGTTGTTTAGCTAGAAGCAGAAGTGACAACCACATCATGCTGAACCAACTCAAAGGCCTAAAGACAAGAGCTGTCCGGAAGTGCAGTAGCAGCAGCAGCTTCCAATGCAGAGACTGGTACTCAGCTCTTCAGTTTGATTGCTATCATATCAATGCAGTAAGACAGGAGAAGAACTGGAAAGGGAGAAAGAGGATAGGTAATGAACTGAACTAGGTGGACAAAAGAATGCAGCTGTGCCTTCCAAAAAATTGTAGGCTAACAAAGCCTGGCTTCTTCTTCCTAGTGACTGGACCATGTATGCAGGTTTATGAGACCACTTTGCTTTTAAGCTAACAGGTTGAATCCAAGTGATTGAGGCTCATGATTTTATATGAAGAGGCCTCCAGTTCAGATCTCAACGATGACAACCTGTTCAGGGATGTAGTTATAGTTGTCTAGAAGGTGAGGGAAAGAATGACAAGAAATAGAAAACAAACTAAGATAAAGAAATAAAGCTAGACAACTAAAGAGGAAGAAAGAGCACATGTGATAGTGTTAGGAAGAGCTGCATAGGAATAGCTGCATCAGAGATAAAAACGTTAAACCCCGACTTGCAGATGTGAAAATATACTAAAGCTCCAGGGAGAGGAGCATAGGTGCCCTGCAGCCCTTCAGGTCTCATCTCCTAGACACACCAAATGACTATTATATATATGCTCTCTCAGCAAGGCAAAACTGCTACAGTTTCTGGAAATGAGTTTCTTCTACCACTCTACTACTGTAGCTATGCCCAATATCGGCTCTCAACCTGATATCAAAGCCAGGTTTGGAACTCACTGGAGCACAGCCTGTACTACATGTACATTAATGACCTCACCTAAAACAGTTCTTCAGCAAAGACTCTTATTGAATGTGAAGGAAATCATGTTCATTGTTTACATCCATTTTTTCATCTGGGCATGTATAAAATTCTCTCATCTTCCTTAGAGCCCAAGTTGTACATAACTGAAGTAGAAGGTACATGGAGAAGAGAAAGGTCTATAGAGAAAGGTTGTACTGGTTGATGGACAATTTTGTGACTCTGAAATCTGATTTTGTTCCTTTTGGAACTAGCAAGCAGGCAGGTGGGCAAGCTGCTAGAATGCCAGGAAGAAGTCCTTCAGACCCTGCTGGAGCCCAGCGAAACATTGGGAAAATCAGCACATTCCCACGGCTTGTTTCATTTATACAAATGGCAAATTGTGATGGAGAAAAGTTTTGGCAGAATTTCTACGACAAGCTCAAAGAAATTGTTTAAGTGCCTGCCTGTCTGAAGTGTCTTGGTTGAATGCCTGTCTGTAGCAGTTACCTATGGATTTAATGCAGCCAGAAATCAGCACCTACAACATCCCTGCCCTACCCTGTTCTTACAACCAATGTTTTATTCATCTAACTGTCCACAGAAACAATCTGTTATTGCAGGCATTAGTCTGTGCTGTATATGTGCAGCGACTCAGACTCTGTCAGTCCCCCATCTCAATCTTTGTTTTATACTCATAAAAAAATGGAAAACACATGGAAAAATACAGCTTTTTAACCTTTCCTGCTTACCCTACGAAACATGTTCCTCCCTCTGCTAAAAGGCTTTGTTTTATACGTTGACTGAAGCAAACAGGAGTGTATTTTGCAAAAAATGCCTTGTTTATTCCATGTAAAAACACCTAATCTAGTTGTAGTAATAGTGTCATGTTGTTTTCTTTCTTTGTCCTATGGAGTGCCCTCTAGTGTCCTACAGGGTACAATGCATTTATTATCCAGACTTCTCTATTGACCTATCATTAATAATTATACTAACAGTTACTTAGCTCATACAGGATGTATGACATCTTTCAAGGGCAGCACAAATAAATTAAACATTCTTCATATCACCATAATGAGACAGGTAGCTTTTATGATCGATTGGATGCCAGTCCCTGTGTTTGCTTATTGAACACGTTACCTTTTTGTTAAATGTTATCCAAATCCCTTTCATCACAGACACCACTAAAAATTCAAATACTATCATATATAGAATTAAAATTTTAAGGTGGTCCATTCAAAGCAGCATTTATTTTAATGCTTCTCAAATTCTCCACTTTCTGCCCCATAATCTATGTTAAAATAGTTCTACAGACAAAAGTATAGCTTTCAGCCTCCTGTTCACCCATACATCTTCACATGATTGCTATTTTGACATTGTTTAAAGTTTTAAATAATTTTCTTTCCAAAGGCAATTCTAAGGGGTTACACTAGATATAAAAACAAAACCTTCTGAAAGACTTGCAGTTATTCACACATATCTTGAAATATGGAGAGATGAATTATGCTCACTCAACACAGAGCTTTTTTCTTTACTACCAACCTTTACATTTGTTTCCTTAACTGGTGAGTTATGCAAATTCCAGTTGAAAATGTAGATCGAAATCTGTGCTATCGATTTTTCTCGTAGGCAACAGATCCTTGTAAACCCACACAAATATCAATGAAAAACAAAACTATAGTACACTAATGATTCATTATTTGGTATTTAGCACAGGATAAAGCAAATGGAGGGGAAAAGCACCAAGAAAAAAAAATCATAGGATTGAGATTATTTCTTACTTTTTCAAATCCATGAACTGTTGCCACTACAATTACGAGATCATCAAGGCCTCATTTTGTTCATCAGTCTACATGGCAGTTGTTTCACACCCACGCATGTTCTCTTTTAATTCAGTTCAGTAGCTGATGAATAACTCCCACTAACAAAAGAGCCTTTCATTCCATGCTTACATAATTATTAGAAGAGAGTTGCGTAAATGTCACTGAAGACTAGTGTTTGCAGCCCTGCCTCTAAATTTCGTTATTCACAACCTTTCCAGCTCAATATTATTGCTGAACTGTGATCATTTTCTAATTACTCTAATAATACCTATTAAATCACTTGAATTACATAAGCACAGACCTACTTAAATACAACTTAACCTAATAAGCCCTGGTCATTCATTAAACAATAATGCCCATTATTTTTAAAAGGCTGAACGGAATATTAACTGACCTATTCTTGCATTATTACACAAATGTTATTACAAAGCAACAAAGTGTTAATGTTTCAGGGCTAGTTTAGAGACTCTAGGCTTGAAATTTAGTGTGATAAGAGTTATTCAAGCACACTTTCCTTTCTCTATGTTTCTCTATCTGCCTTCTTCTGAAGCTGGTCACCCACATGAAAACAATCAACACAGAGAAAAAGTAGTACTCTAACCTTAATGATGGGAATTAAATTACTAAGGATGAAAAAGCAAATGAGGCGCATCAATCTCCTAGTAGATGAGCCTTCTTTAGGAAATGTGATTATCAAAATAATGAAAACAAGAGGTGGATCTGGGTGATTGATCTTGGTATTCAGCATTTATCCTTACTTACCTATAGTTAGAAGAGTTTTGTTCCTCTATACTTTTTGAAGATATAAAAAGAAGACCCAAAATTCTTTGCTGATTTCTGTAACTAACACATAAAACCCTTAAAACACCCGTGGGGAAACTATGCTTTCTAAAAGACAAGGAAGTGGGCATACTTTGATAAATCATTATCTTTTAACAGAAGAAGTGATCATATATTAGCTTTTTAAATAAAATCTGGAACAGAGTAGCTCCATCAATTATAAGATATTGGTTTTAACAACCAGTGAGATAGCTATGCAATTCCTTCCAGTTCTTTGGTTAGACAAACTCCCACTAAAGCTAATTTGTTGGCTCAGTATTTGTGTATGATAATACTGGGTACTATAAAAAACACTTATGACCCAAGGAGATCATAATAACTTTCTGAGGTATTCAGGATTGAGCCCAACATGTTTTTGCTGCAAGTATGATGAGTTTCTTAGCTGTTAGTAGAATACAAAACAAAAAAGCATGTACCTACAAATCTAAAACTTGGCCGTGCCACATAGCTATGAATATGGTACCAAGTGTCAACACAACAATTTCCCAGTTTTTCAGTGTTGTACAGTGTAACCTCATGAATCCAGCATGCTTGGGACCGAGCACCTGCTGGAAATGTGAAAATTCCAGATCTGTGAAACGGGAGCGGCAGCCAGTCCCGGAGCAGCAGCCACACACAGAGCAGAGGCGCGGGATGGTGGATGGCGGTGGCAGCTGCCATGTGCAAGGTGCCTCCTCTGCTGCTCCAGGACCGGCTGCCACTACTCCCCAATAGAGTATTGTTTTAAAAAGTGATGGATTTTCCATTTTTCCAGGTTTTTGATATCCGGATTTATGCGGTTATACTGTATTATCCGACAGAGCACAAAAATCACACTAGTGACTTCTAAGTTTTGATTTTTAACAAGGAAAAAAAAAAGAGCGTCTCTGCTATGAGACTGCTGGCTGTCATAAATTCTTTATGTCTAAAGTATCTTTTGGAATCAAAAGGTAATCTCATCTGGCAGGAGATCTGTATGAGGGCAGCCTCTTCTGTTCATATTTCATTGGGGGAAAAAAAGGGAACGCTAAATAGGATCATTGAGTTCTACCCCAAGTTAGAAGTGGAATATAGCTGCTGTGATCACTACAGCGTCTGTGGGCAACTTCTCTCCTATCCCCCCCTGGTTGACAGGGAGATAAGTTCCGTTTCCTTTTTCTTTCACATACTTCTGCTCCCCTCCTGGCACCTGGCCGGCCCCGTGGGGTAGGGAGAGATCTGGTTCCACCAAATCTCCACCATCCATTTTTCTCTCCCCCTCTCTGTCTAACTCCTCATGGGGCTGAAGAGAAAGAAAGTATATCAGGCATGCTCAGGGAGATCAGTTAAATCTATGTAGCTCCTGCCTGACACATTATAGCAAGAGGCTTGGTGCTCCTGCTACTTTAAGAGAAGGCAGATTGCGGATGGAGCAGCCTGCAAGTGCCGCAGGAGGCAATCGGGGGTCATGTGACCCAAAAGGGGGATTCAGGGCATAAGCCCAGAGTCTGAGTTGGGGTGGCACTGGCAGCTGAGATGTGAAGAACTGAAGAGCAGGAATGCAGCCATGCTCCTGGCAAACACCTAAGCTGGGGGAAGCAGGTTGGTAGTCTGGGGACTGAGACAAGGGGAGGTAAGGTGGTCTCAGCTGGCCTAAGAGCAGAGCCAAGGCTCAGAAAATAGGGGCCCTGAAGACCAGGGCCACAGCCAAAGGGTTGTGAGAGCAAGAAGGGTCAAGGACCCATAGCCCGCAAGAGGCAAGAGGCAGAGTCAGCAACTTATAGCCCAGGAGGGGCAAGCATGATCAGGGAGCCTGGAGGTCTCTCAACTGGCCTAGGAGCAGGACCTGGGAAGGACCAAAGATCAAGGGAGAGCCACTGCTGGAGACTGGGATGGTCAGGGATCCACAGCCCAGTCAGGGCCAGGGGCCCAGTGCCTCAGGAGAGTACGGATCTGGGTCAGAGACCCAAGGATGTGCCCGGAAATGAGCAGAGAGAGAGAAGTCAATAATGAACGGTGACATCTGTGAGGCATGGGCATGATGTAAGGGGTGGTCAGAGCCATGTAATTAGCTCTTAAGGTGCAGAGTGAAGACATTTGCACTCAGAAGCATGAGCTCAAGCTTGGGAAGCCCAGGGATAGCCTCACTTTATCTAAAAGATAAATACACTAAAGCATGGCAGGCCAATGGATGGGTGAGTGCTCAAAGACAGTGAAGTTGATGAAGGTTAAGGGGGCTCCAGGGGCATCATAGCCATCCCTGGAGATGAACCCTGTTACACCCATGCATCATGGACATGTAAAATGAACAGTCCTAATGCATCTGTGGAGGGGGGAGCTTATACCCTCCCGCACTTTGCACAGCTGAGTCATAGGTAATCAAAATCTAACCGTCAGCTAGAAGCACAGGAGAAACCCATTTGTCTCATACCCATAAGGACAAAGCAGTTTGAAGTTCAGAGGTCTCCTTGCTCCTCCATGCCTTCTCTCACTGCTTGTCTGTTATTTCTATGGTTTAGTCACTGACTGTAATCAGGGCATCGTATTATTGGCATTTCACACTTAGAGAGAAGCTGTGTTACCAGGCATAGGCTCCTGGTTTGGTAACCAAGTTAATGGACCTAGAAACATCACTAATTCTATAGGGAAGAAGAAATTAAAGTCAGGATCATATTTTAAAGAATGAGGAAAAAAAATCACTTCAGGTTCAAGCACTGATAGTTACAAATCCACAACACTTGGAAGCATCTTGTTGCCTGTTAACGAAAAGGTTCTTGAGAAAAGGGGAAGGAAATGGTAATTTTTTTCTCCCCTACTTATTGTTTTAGTGAAAATTTTAATTTTTATATTTTTACTACAGCCCTATTTTTAATCCAGTTGTGATGTCTGCTCCATTTCTGAAGCGGCTTAGAAGATTCACATGGCTCCCATCCCCTTTACCTGATTCTCCTCGCAACTCCCTCTCCAGTTTAACACCTCTGGTCTCTAGAGCTGTCTGCCTCTCCTCCAGCTCCTCCAGTTGGCGCTGGATAGCCTGCAAAAGTATACAAAAGACATAATAGATTAAAACACAGTTTAATAACAGGGAGAAGGACTGCCCAGTGCTCCAGGCATTTGGCTGGAACGTGGCATACCCAGAGTCAGTTCCCAGGTGTGCCACAGACCACTTATGTGATATTTGGGAAGTCACTAAGGCCAGATTCATAAAAGTATCTAAAAATTAAGACATTTTTAGATGAGGGAGATTTTTAAAACTCCATAGGGAGTTAGGTGCGTAGGCATAGGTGGCAGAAGGCCGAGGCTAATGGGGCTTAGCCCCCACAAACTAATTTTGCAGCAGCTGGCAACAGCAGCAGCACCATGGCTCTGCTGTCCCGCAGGGCCCAGCACTGCTCGGTGCCACCCCCACACCTCGCCACTGCAGCATCATGCCCAATGCCCCCTCCATAGGCTCCCCTGCCACTGCACAGCATCAGCATGTGCCAGCCCCGCAACGGCTCTCAGTCCTCCCAAATAATATTTTCTCTTGCCACTACCATGTGTAGGTGCCGCTTGGTGCATCTTTATATGAATGCAGAGCAGTAGATCAAAAGAAGGGGTATTAAACTGTAGTGTTTCTTTACATTAAGATCATCTTAATATCTCAAGTAAAAACTATTGCTATGAGAAAAAAACCTATATTATGGATACAGCTTTTCTTTTGTGGCGGCGTCTATTTTGCCATTTATTAATTTAATGCAGGGGTAGGCAAAATGTGGCCTGATGGCCAGATGCGGCTCACCAGGCTATTCTATCCGGCCCGTGGGATCCCTAAAAAATTTAGAAAATTAATATTAATCTGCCCTGGGCTGCCTGTCATGTGGCCCTCGATGGCTTGCTGAAGCTCAGTAAGTGGCCCTCTGCCCAAAATAATTGCCTACCTCTAGCTAATGTTTCCCAAAATGGAAACAAAATGTAGGAAAAAAACTGATATGTTAAATTATGTTTTCTTATTTAAAGGTGCACCAACTCTTTCTGTGGGTGACATCTCTTCAAAAATATAAAGGACTTCAATTCCATTTCTGGAAAACATTTTTCCCTGTTTGTATAACTGTAGCACTTACAGGCCTCAATCAAGATAAGGCATCTGCTGTATAGAGAAGAATACAAACACATGGTGAGAGACCACTGCCACTTCAGAGAGAGAGACAGAGGTCTGACAGGCAAAAGTAGCCTTGATGCTTCTTTTGCTCCACATAAAATGTAAGGTGAGATTTTTCAGATAAGGACTTAGTACCTATAAGTCCCCACTGAGAGATTCATTCAGGTGCCAAAACAGGATCTGAACTCTTCAGAAAATCTTAGCCCAGCTGTACGCACTTTTAAAAATCTGGCCTGCCAATGCCATACCTGACTAGTGTGACTTGTGACAGAAGGTATGTCTACCCTGCAATCACTGGAATAAGGAGATGCCCCAGTTAGCACTGACTTATCTAGCTCATGTGCTAGGAACAACCTAGCCACAACAGCATGGAGCACCACGCTGGGTTAATATACCCTGTTTCTCAGGAGGGTTTCACAGTCCGCACTTCTTGCTGCTGCAGTTAGGTTGCTACTAGCAATAGCATAACTGAGGGGTGGGCGAGAGGGGCACTTATTCAGAGGAGGGCACCAGAACGGCAGCCCCCAGGGAGCCTGTGCCACCAGCTGCCCCTGTGAGAGGAGGTAATTGCTCTTGCCTGCTCTTCCCCCATGTGCACTGTTGAGAGCACCAGAATTTTAAGTGATAGCCCTGGCTAATGGTACCTGAATTAGTCAATTTACTGCTATTTTGGGCATCTCTGATGATTTTGGCACATTCAATTTGGACACCATTGAGATCAACTCATGGAGAAGTGTATTCACAAAATTGTGCATGAATGTTGCACAAGCCTCCTCCATGGTTCAATGGCACAACTGCCTGCCTGGGCAGAATCTAGGGACATTTACACATGTGCTCTGGGAGTAGGGGTGGGGGGCACTTTAATAAGAGCACCTCTGAGAGCCGCTCTAATTAAAGCGCCCGTAGCAGCTCGGGTATCAGTGCCCCTGTGCTTCAAGATGGCAGTGAGGGCACTTTAGATAAAGCTTGTTGAACAAGCTTTAGTTAAAGGACCCCCGACACCATTTTGAAGCACGGGGACACTAATACATTAGTCACGGGAGAGTGCTGGAGCATGGTAATTGCCACGCTCCAGCAGACTCAATCAGTCAAGTCTGGTGTGAAGCTCTGGAATTACAGTGCATCGGAGCAGGCTCCGCACTTGTGTATAGGCACCCAAACTTCTTTCTGCTTTGTCTGAAGACAAGTACCTTGGCAGTCTCTTTGTACAAATTGTACAGGAGCAATTTTTTCCCCTTTGTAAATAAGCAGTTTATTTGCAGTCCCAGTGGTTGCAGAAACTCATTTTCTTTTAGTTCTAATTTTACTCTCCACTCCACTGTACCCCTGGACTTAGATCCCATCCTTACCATCAACTGTTGTGTCTTTCTTTCCTTGTACAAGATGAAGCAGCCACATGGCTGGCTTCCAAAAAAAGCATGTTTAGTAACTATACACAAATATCCAAGGCCTAACTACATATATCCTGCTGCTCTAGCTAGTTTCCGTGTCCTTCCCTTATCGCACTTATCCTTTTCTGCATCACTGAAATACTCTTAAGTATCTCTGAAATGACACTAGCAACATTTGATTTTTTTCACCTGTGCTTTGTGGAGCCTTCTCAGCTGCTCTTGTTTAATCAATTGCTTGGTCTCCTTTTCCAACTTCTTCCTCTTTTTAAGACTCCTTTTAACCTACAAGAATGGAGAAAAGAAGATAATTGAGGAAATATTTATGAATTTTGATTTTCATAGATTTTTTCCCCATTGCAAATGTTCAGTAGTCTTTAGTCTATTTAACTAAGTGTCCTTCAAGCCATTATGTCTTTCTTAAGAAGAACACTCATTGTATCCCTATTTAAGCATTATCTGTTTCTGTCCATGAAGCAAGTGCTGAATCAAAAAGGATACTATACAGTTATACAGCTGCAACCATATGCCCCCAAGTACTTCTGCAAATGTGCCCCACAAGTTCTTCAGCAATCAGAAAATAAATCAAGTTATAGTAGAAAGTAGAAGCTTTTTATAGAAAATTGACCTACTTACCCTGGGACCTGTTAGATGCTAAAAACTTAGTTCCTCTGACTGAGTTGTAATTTCCTTGTTTGTTAACATTTATATTTTATATAAGTATATGCTTTTCAACCAATATTGGGCTTGATCCTTAGCTAATATAAGTTGGTGTGATGCCATGGATGTCCATGAAGATATGCCAAATTACATTAGCTGAGGATCTGGCCACTGCTGATTAAGTAGCTCCCATACAGAAAATACCATTCATTTAAATTTCTTATCTAACATGCTGCATTAGGTAGAGTATGTCTTATTACAATAACAGTTAACATTGGGCAGGAAGCATGTGATGGGATGTGACTGATGTAGTCTGAAGCAGTACAATGATTGCTCTTGCACAGAAATCAGGGGCATGTTTCTCTTTCCTGCAACTAATTTAACTATTGCCATTCAAGACCACTTTTTGCTTCTTCCTGCCCTCCCAGATACCTGCTTGTATCTGTGTATTGGAATGTTGCAAAGAAAACATTTTTATGGGTCTAACCCTCTGATCACTGAGCTAGTCTCTAAGAAGTAAAACAAAGCAATCGTTTCCTAAAGGAGTAGCATATCATGCATATAATCTTTTTTTGAACCATGCTATTTGAAAAGGTTTTAAGACTCATCCTGATTTATTTACTCAAATAAAGAGAGAGCGATAATAAGAAAGAATAATAGAGAGGGCGGGAGGAAATTTAGGAACCTTTCCCGTCAGAATGATTTCTTGCATCTTCTTTTCAGTTCTGTCCAGAGGGGGACACTGATATTTGAAATGTGGGAAGCAAAACTGGTGTACTGGGAGTCAGCTGAGAGGAATGAATACATTGAATAGGTTATGTGACTCGAAACAGGCAATGCCAGGACTGCATCACTGCTACTGTTCTCTTCTATGGTTTGTCATTTCCACCATATTTGACCAGACATTCTGCTAATGTTGTCCCTCACTTATCACCATATGTCCATTTCTGCATGCCAGCTGTTTGAATTATTGCGACTTCTTCCTGTTCAGATCATTCCTGTGTTGGTTTGGAGGGTTGGTGGGTCTGGGGGGAGGGGTTCACCTCTCTGTTTTGTTTAATCCATTATTTTTTTCCTCCAATTTTTACTTTTGTTTTTTCTACTTTTGTTCTTCTCCTTATTCTATTTATATTTTTTTTTCTTTGTCAAGAAGCCTTTGAAAGTTATTCTTTGAAATGTCTGGAGCTTGACAGAATCTGGCCATTGCATTTTCTTTCACAAATGGATTTGACTAGCATTTGATATGGCGAGTCAAAATACCGTTAGAACCAACTATTTGTAAGGAATTGTGTGAGGTGGAAGGATTTATTGCACTCTATTTCACTGTAGTGAATGAGCATGCATGGGGTTGAACATGAAGGAGAAAAACCTTGCCTCCTAAGCAAACGCCTTCTTGCTTCACTGTTTGTGACATGCTTGGCAGAATTGTCACTCAGGAGAGTAGGAGCAAGAAAAATGAACACTTTCCGCTTTTTAAGCTCCTTTTTCTCTGTTTTGCAAAGTATAAAAATGTTTCTTGCACATCTCTTCATAAATTTGCTGGGGGGGGGCAGTTAGGGTTAAATGGAATAGAAAGGCTGACCCATCCCCACATTGCGTTGAAGGGACCTTCAGAACAGAAATCTAACTCTGTAAAAAAAATGCCCCAGGGTTTGTATCCCTGTTTTTTTCCAGTGAACCCATCCCCTTCTGCATTTCAGCATTTTGTGAGTGGATTTTCATGGTTGAACATAGAAATGTCATTTGGTCTTTCTTCACCCCTCAGGAGTTGCAAGAAGGTAACTGGTCACTTAAAAAAAAAACTCCAACCCCCAGCAAACCAGAATACCACCTTTAAATCTAAATACCCTTTATAGTTAAACCATCCACTATTAGTGGCATCCACAGATGCCAGTCACTGATATTCCTCCACATTCAGAGAAAGAACAAAGGTCTGATAAACTGTTCAGTCCACTGAGCCTCTTTTTCTTCAAACTGCAGATGACTATCAAGACTTCATTGTCATTTAAGTTCACTCTTTCCTATATGATACAGAAGCCAGCTAGAACTCAGTATACAGTACACACTTTTGGGGTGTAATTTTTTTATGCGACTGCAGGACTCATTTAATATTTCTGATTAGAACAAACATAGCATTTTCCATGCACATTGCTTGTAGTGCTTCTTAAATGAAGTTGTGTTTCCCCATGGGAAATCTGCATCTGTGTGTTTTAATTTTTTCAATGGTTTGCTCATTGGGCTATATATTAAAACCACTTAAGAAACACAGCTTCAAAGTGGTTTCAGTTAAGCATGTCCATTTTTCAAATTAGAGCCTTTCCTGTCAATGTGTGTGTATCCTGGGGACCTGAAAGGTAGAACAAATTCTGACATCTTTCTTCAATAAATTTTCTATGCAGGAGTTATAACCCCTGCTAATACAATATTTCCATCTTCTTTAGAAAAATGTACTTTTTTTATCATCACAATCATACAAATCTTAAACATAACTGATCAGTCAAAACTGCCCTTTGTTAAAGTAAACATTACCTTGAATGCTAATGAAGGCTTGTGTTCAATTTCATTATCAGAAGATGAAGAATAACACTCAGTCACTTGTTTTCTGACAGCTAGGTGTTCAGAGCCTAAAATGCAGGAACAAAACACTCAGTGAAGCAGAAAGTATCTGCCCTTGACTTCTATGGACATGCTGCACCTGGCCTAAACTGTACTAGGCTGCACCTACAGCTAATTTGGAAATTTGGCTGATGCTGTTAATTAAATTGTTGGTCCCTGTCCAAAACTTCTGCTGCTTGTATTTGAATTTTTTTTAAACATGCAGGAATGAATTAATTCCTTAAACACCATTTATGTAGCATAATGCTTAGAATGCATTCACAAAAACAACTCTATTATTAAAATGCATATCTGAAGTTAGTTGTGTTACCTAAATGATTATATAAGGCTTGCCATGCAGTGTAATTGAATGCAAAAAGTCTGAGCCAGCTCTTAAACAAATTACCCTTATGTGGCTTGTAGCATCTGGCACCCATTTTTACTACATGACATCTGCTCAGTGTAAAATAGCTGGCGTCAGAATGTCTGGTCATATAAAAAAATCACAAATGTAATCAGAAGCAAATGGACTAAGAGAATAAGGTTTTATCGCACAGTCTCATGCAACATAAATATTTCATTAATTATGTCTAAACAAATGTCATTTTTATTTTTCTGTCTTAAGAATATTATCACATCATTGAACTGTTGATTAAAATGCCATAATAAGTCAGGGAAATCCATACATCACACAATGCACTCTGCAAGGGAAATTCGGAAGCTATCATTAGAAGAAACGTATTCAGAGATACAGATTAAATTATATTTAATTGCTACAATTTTATTTTTCCTATTTCATCAAAGTCTTGTTCTAACTGAGTGCAAATATTTGAATTTGTTCTGAAATTACTTGTCTAATTCATATCTTCATCCTCTTTATTCAAGAAAATAAAACTTGTTCAGGAACATCTGTCTCTATACTTCAACCTGCTGTGGGGTTAATGATTAACATCTGGACTGGACTCTTTTTTTGGAGTACACAATATTTAAAGTGGATCATTGACATTTTTCTTAGCATGTGCCAGATAGCTGTTGATTTGCTAATCCAGGGCATGACTGCGAGTTTTATTTATAATAAGATCATTTCCCATTTCCTCAGTGTAAGTAGTCCTTCTTTCCTACTTTTGTTTCACTCTGAAACCAAACCCTGCAAAATAAGAATTAATTTCTGCTCCAAATACAGTTTAACAATAGAGTCAGGGAAATCAGCTTATTCCAGAAAGATAACTAATTTGTATTAAAACAAAGCAGTGCAGGGGCCAGATCTACTCAGTTACATCACCACTGAACATGAAATAACTCCTTTGATTTCACACTAAATCATTGTCCTCAATGGAGTTATAGCCTTACAGAGATTTAACTGGGTGTTGAACTGGGTTCTTTCTAAGATTTCTAGCAGCTACACAGATCAGAAGGAGAAAAGTTGCTCATAACATCATAATAAATAACAATATAAGATAAATACATGTCAATAACATATATCAAGTAAAAAATCCTTGCCTTATAAAAAGAAAAACTGGCTAGAATCAGTGCTTTCAGTTAGCCTTCTTGAAGACGCAGGATCATAATGTTGAGTATGCTTGGGATACATTACAGCATCTGAGGAATGTGGGGCTGTCTACTCTATGGGCCACTTTTTTGTTGCTGCTAAAGGGCAGGGAGCATGTCACTACGGCTCTAAGTTATACCTACTGGAATAACCCTCTAGGAGCTGATTTGGACTGTGATTGCCAGAACACAATACAGGCACCATACACCTTGGCCTGCATGCCACATTGTCGAGCACCAGTAGTGAATGACATAGACCCAGTTATGCCAGATTCATGCTCTCCAGGGATGCTCTTTAAGCCATCATTGCCTCTCCTTTGTGTTGCCTGAAGGATGAAAAGAAATGAAGCGGGGAACAAGATTGGACCTATCTTTTGATGGCTTAACTCAGCAGCATCCCATCTTTCACCTGACTTGGGTTTTCTCTGCTTGTAACAATAGAGCATCCCTACTAACTTGTTTGTGATCACATTTTCATTCAAATAAAATTCCATAATATGCAAATCATAAATGTTACAGGATTTGCTAGCAGCTTTGGCAACACAACCAATTACATGCTCTCTTTCTTCCTTCTACAGTGGGAATAAATAATTGCTTTCCTCTGTCCTCCTCTTTGTGTTACATCAATAATTAAAAAGTGTTACAAGGTCTAGAGGATAAACCGCCTTCTGTAATACAAGAGCACCTGCCTCCTTCTCAAGGGACTCTGACTCTGGAGTTGTTTGCCTTTTAGGAACAAAAGCAGAGTCATTCACTTCCCTTAGGATTCAGGACAAGGGCCATCACATGAGCAAGAAGTCGTCAATGGATTAATAGTGTACACAGTCTCAACAATGCCTGTCACCTTATGCATTATGGAATGCCTGGCATTTGTATCCTATGCTGCCTGGCAAGAAATGGTTAGAGAGCTAGGAAAAGCAGAACCTTTCAAGAGACATTGTATAAGTTATGCTCTTCAGTGAAAGACCTTCTTAATCAGGGAATCTGTAAGCAGAATGTATCAACAGAGAAACAGAATAACTCCCTCATTTATCATCAGTGGAGATAATGTATTTGACTGTACATACACTTGAATTTATGTGGACTGAAATATTTAGGCTTTCCACAGCATTTTATCCATAGTTCTTGCAGCACTACATGGGTATTCACATTTAACAAATAGACATATTAAGGCACAGAAAACTCAAGGTGGCTTGCCCAAAGTCCCTCAGTAAGTAAACGACAGAATGGGAACAAGAAGTCAGAAGTTTTGACTTGTGGCCCTGCATCCTGTCCACTGGAATTTTTGTCTCTATAAGATGCAAGGACCACCAGACGGTCTCTTCTTTTTAAAAGATAAAGTACAGAGGTAGCCATTTAAAACTCTGCTAAACTATTTTTTCTGTCCTCAATTTCTCTTATGGAAGCATGAATACAGTTTATTGAATCATATCCCAAACACAGAGTTTGCATTGCAAGAGAACTCTCTCAAGCATTATAGTAAAAACCACCAGACCAACTATCTGAAGAATTTGAGCCTCATGCAGACCCCTTAAAAAAAAGCCAACTGTAGTCATTATATTCTCTTTATCAGGGAACTGGTTTTCTGAGGTGCAACATCTGCAACTAATTATTGTTTATCCTTATTGTTTCTGACTCTGGGATGAAAACTCCCTTGACTTCCTTGGTGTATGCTGAGGGCAGAATTTGGCCTCCAGGCATTCATCCTTGGTGATTCCTACAAGGCATTACAACAGAATGTCGTAATTTTGGCAAAATTCTTAAACCGATCTGACCATTCATGCTCGTCTGTAACAGGGAACCCCTTGTCCTGTTACTGCAGGAAGGCTATGGGGCCATCAGGACTCACAAAGACCCTTTAAGAGAAGGGTCACTGTGACCCAGGAGAGAAGGGAATGCAAGGGAGGAAAAGGTTACTGCAAGGTCCTCCAGGAAGAAGTTCCAGGTGGCAAGCAGCAAAAGGGGAAGGGATACGGTCCCTGCAACAGCCAGCTACTCTGCCCTGGGGAGCAGCTGCATGCTGAGGAGAAGGCAGCCAAAGGGCAGGCAGCTGGCAGGGCTGAGAGTAATGAGCAGCCCCTGTGCTCAGACCAGACAACAGGTCAGGCTGACCGGAAGGGGAGAGGCTCAAGGGAATAAATCAGCTAACCCTGGCTAGGGAGGAGGTGTACTACCTTGTACAAGCTATGCTGTCCAGTAATAGACCTTTTTGATCAGGGAATCTATAAGCAGAAAGGTATAACAAACCCCAAAACAGTAGTGCTCAGAAGCAATAAGGGGAGCCCTGGTGGATAAAGACTCTAAGGTCTTTTTCTTTCTCCTTTTACCCTGCTACAAGGTCACATTGGAATAGGGAGTTAAGCTTGCGTTGGTTTTGTTTGTACATGCCTGGAAGTGCAGTATCTTAGGCTGAAGCAGTTGCTGACATTTCTGTTCCAGTTTAACTGGAGGGCTGGGAGTGGTTGTGAGGGGAGGTGGAGACTGCACTGCATGTGCCTTAAAGGGCCCTATGGCATTAGCCTCTTGTAGGCAAGAGGATCAGAAAGAGGGAATTTAACCTCTTCAAGGCTGGCAGACCAAGGGGACCCAGAGCCCCAACTGTGGGGCTTAATTCCCAGTTGTGCTGCTACCAAGGACCCAAGGCCAGAATAAGTGGACCTAGGGCAGAAGGTAGCAGCTAGAGCAAATAATTCTGGACCAAGAGGTCAGAGCCTGGACAAGTATAAAAAAGGGTGGAGCCAAGCAACCCAAAGGAAAACCTCACTCTAAGGCTCAGGACATCTCATGCATAACTGGTTGTTCCATCAAGGCATGGCAGGAGAGATACAGGGTGGTGGCTCAGAAGAGCTAGAGTGGAGGCGGGCTAGCCAGCCACTGGCTGTTACTACCACCCAGCAGGGCTAGTCGTGCCACACTGTCCTTAAGTGTTTATGGTCTTTCCCATCCTGTTATTTAAGAACAAGTCAATAAGAGTCTATAACTGCGAAAAGGGTCTGAAACCTATTCATGATACTTCTGATATGAAAAGAGAGCTCTCTCAAACAACAACTTGGGACATTTGTACATGTGCTTGCGCTGCAGCACATGCATTTGTATAAATGGCAAAATGTGTGTCAATGCTGAGAAAAAGGCAGTGGTGTGCTTTTGAACTAAAATACATCAAAGTGTTTTAGTTCTGAAGCGCACCACCACCATTTTGTCAGTGCTGACATGCATTTCATCATTTATACAAATGCATGCGATGCACTACTGCCATATCTCTGGTGTCAGAGCAGACAAATGTATGTGTATAAATGCCCTCAATTCCCATACAGCTGAAGACTTGCTTTGTCTTTTCCTCTTTGTCCACCCAGTAGAACAGAAGTACCCTAGACTCACTTTGACTCCTGAATTAACCATTCTGCTATCCCTGAAGTTTTTGCATGTTAACATCCCCAGCAGAGTGTTTCTGAAAGTCCAACCCAAAATCCCTCCACTTAGG